TAACAGTGACTGAACTTATGAAATCAATCCACAAAGTCTCAACGTTGCTCTAACTTTTTGACTTTGCCAACCCTTAAAGTGAAGTGTGCTATAAAGTCCTGGTTTGTAACAGAGACTAGCAGATGTTTCTAGATGACACATGAAGCTTGTAGAAACTATCCCAGAAGGGTGGCCAGCCCTGCTGGCTTTCTCTCCCAAACCACAGATGATGACAGAGGCATTTACTGCATTAAAAGATGACAAGGACGGCCTAGAGGTTGTAGCTTAAGGTCCAAAAAAATAAAGCAAATTTTAAAATAAACAACACAGAAACAGGTTCAATGATTCAATAAATAGCCTCTCCTGCTTACTAAAAAGATTCTTGTATTTCCAATTGACTCACTGGGAGGGAATCCATGAAAAAACAAAACAAAACAAAACACCACCATAGTTTTCTTGCATTAGGACCAGCTTCCAAATAGACAAGCTATTCTGACTTGAGAGGAGAGTTGCTTGTATCTTGGAAGAAAAATATTTAATCATCACTAACTTTTGCCTGTACTAAAACACTCAGATGTAGAAGAAGAATTGCAGAAGTCTTTTGTAATGGGTTTATACAAATAGACTTTTCTATTTCATGAAAAATATATTGTAACTAAACTCCATCTTCCTTTTCAGGGATACTGAGCCTCTTACAAAAGACACACAAAAATAAATAACATTAAAAACTAGCTGACAGGGCTACCACAGATCTTTTTGCAGATGGTGGGAAGCCAAACCACTCTGCACATTTTCATGCCTGCCTAGACCCAGTACTGATTGCGCCTAAGCGTTGGGTTGGTCTTCCGGCAGTGCTGGACCATTTCTGGATCCAGATTCTTCCAGGCATCCCAAAGAGAGACTTTCTCCACCGGTTTAGCCACTGGGGCAAGCAACGGCTGACATCTTGGGGCCAGATAAGGGCTGACCACTGGGCTGCTGCTTGAGGCCAGATAAGGGCTGACCGCTGGGCTGCTGCTTGAGGCCAGATAAGGGCTGACTGCTGGGCTGCTGGAGCTTCTTTTAAGGGGTGTCACTGTGACAGAGGGGATGGTCACACTCCTTTCTGGACTTAGGTTTGGAGTCCTGGGCTCTGGGCTGGCTGGAGGATCGATGAAGGGTTTAGCTTTTTTTACCTTGCGGCACATCAGGCAGATACAAAGTGACATTACAGTCACTATCAACAGAAAGGCGGCAACAGCAAGTGGTACGATGACCACGAGGGGATCGCTGCTCTCTCTGGGCTGTGTTCTGGCTGTCCTTGAGCTCACTTCAGTGGTGGCCTTTGGCCAGGCAAACTGGGTGACAGGAGTCTCTGCATCTGCCACCAGATCTCTCCCTTTCCAACTTCCCTGGAGATCTGAACCCAGTCTTCTTATCTGTGTTGTCTTCCTTGGGCCTTTAGTCTGTGCCGTGGGTCCTATGGGAATCATAGCCTTTTCTTGGGAAACTGTAGATGTCATCAGACCATCTGATGACGATGGCACCTCTAGTGTAAAATTCTGTACAAACAAGGGATCAGGCAGCACAATAGTATACGGAAAGTAGCCTATAGCTGGCTGCACATGGTCTGCCTTGAGTGTGAAGGTGAAGGAATCATTAAGCGTATCCACACCAGTCATGTTAGCATGTGTATCAAGCATCAGCATACCTTGATCAATGTCCATTTGAGTAAACAGATCAATCCCTTCTGGTTTGGCATGGCGACTGACTCTTCTTATAAGTCTTCCATGGACAGGTGGCTCTGTGACTTCAAATCTGGGAATGCTCTTTGTCAAATTGGCAAGTTTAGTAGCATCCAGGTCCTTCTGCCTCAACTGATAAGTCACCCTGTTGGGGATTTTCAGGCTGGAAGTGACTTGCAGCAAAGGCTGCACTCGGATGTGGAGGGCCTGGTCTGTCAGGTTGTTCTCTGCTGTAAACAACATGAACTTTAACTCGTCCTGGGAGGCAGTGAGATTTGTCATGTGGTAAGAGAGTCTTCCAGAAAATAAATCTTCCTGTTTGAAGTTAGTGACTCGTTCATTTCCCATGAGCAGGTACCCATGCTGGAGGGGCTGGATTAGTTTGTAAGCAATCTCAGTACTTTTTCCATTGGTCATTGCTGACAGATGTACATTAGTGATAGAGACCGAGGTCTGGCCTTGGGGAAGGAGCAGGTCAGTCAGATTCACAAGGGTGACAGAGATAGGTATAACCTCCAGGTGGAAGAGTTTGTACAGTGGACGATGCTTGCCATCCGTCACACTAAAGTAAAACACCCCAGATGTTGGACTTCCATCTTGTACAAACCACAGCTGGCCATTGTCAATGTCAGCCTGTGTAAATTGGTGAACGGCAACGTCTAGATGGGGAGCTCTTGCTAGAAAGCCATTGGTGGGACTGCTGATGATTGTGTATCCGATCTCTTCCGGGGAGTTGTCCAAGTCCTCCACCTTCAGATTGTCAGGTTCCATCCTGAACATATTGCCCTGAAGCACTTTCAGAGAAGGTCCTTTTGTCTTCAGCTTTGGTGGCTGGTCATTCACAGGAGAGATGGTGATATTAAATACCTCTTCAAGAAAGTCAGCCTCTGGTTTTGTGGCAGACTTGCTCTTCTGGTTCAACCAAACCGAGAAGGTAAAATTATCAGCAAGGGATTCGGAGTCATCATGGTGATACGAGATGCCGTATTTATTAATTATATATTGTGAGAAATAGGGTTTTTCTTTGGTAATATTTCTCTCTCCAACCACAATTGTACCATGGTGGGGAAGAGATGTAACCTGGTACCAGACTTCATATGTAGCACGTTGAGGTTCAGGTAATTTAACTAGAAGATTTGAAGCATCTAACTTAGATCTATCAATTAAGACTTTCATTCCTTCCTGGACAACAGCTCCTATAAAAAGAAAAGAACAGTATTTTATTGAAACAGATTTGTATGTGATAAATTGACTGCCTCCCCACTCAGACATGGTCTGAATACAGAACTTCTTTGTTTCTTATGCATTTGGATTATCTTTGCTGTCCGGTATATTAGATACATCCAAACACTTAAAATATGCACATCAGATCATACTGTTAAATTAGCATTTCAGCTTCAAAAGAGCTTTTCTGCTTTTGTTGCTGAGTTTCTTTCACTTCAGTTTCAAAAAATTTATGATTTCCTCAGTGTGGTTGTTTCCTCCATAAAGTCAATCACAACCTACTCACAACTTGTAGGCTGAGTACAGGATCACAGATTTGGAGCTAGAAAGGACCTCAGAAACCATCTAATCCCAGCCAGGCCCTTCATTTTACAGATGAAGAAACAGAGCTCAGGTCTGCTTAGGTGACTGACTCAAGGTCACACAGCTGCTAAGTGGCAGACACAGGATTTGAACCCAAGACCTCTGACTCCAAGGCCAGCAAATATTCCACTGTACCATGCTGCTTTTCCTTCATGAATTGTTGTGGCTACCACAAACAATCACCTGGGGATGAAACTCTCTGAACTAGGCTAGGTTGGTTCTTTGGCGATAGATACAAAGTGAGTCACTAGCTCATAACTGAAACCTTTTCAGCTTGATAGGGTCCATCAACCCTATGCTCCACAGGCAGAGGACTCAAGGTCCCTTCCACACCACAACCAGCAGGACTTTTGCGGAGGAGTCTTAGTTCAGGTGTTTTAATTTCCTGGTCTACCTTTAGTGTCAGGATGGACCTGACACTAAACACAGCCATAGGCGCAAATTTCCAAAATCAATCAGTCAACAAGTATTTATTAAGAGTGTATCAAGTGCCAGGCACCGCGCTGAGTACTGGGCATATAGTCCCATCCTAATGGGGATTGGGGAGACAACATATACATCAGAACTTACAAAATAAATTCAGAGTGAGTGGAAGGTAACCTTTGAAGGGATGTCACTAGAAGCCAGAGGGACCAGGAAAGGCTAGAGAAGTGGGGGCATAAGGTGAGTCTTTAAAAGCAATGGGAGCTGGAGGTTGGGAGGGACAAGGGGACTTGCTAGTCCAAAAGCATGGAGACCATGTGCAGGGACTAACACATACGCCAATATGGGAAGGGGCCAACAAACAACTCTTCTGTCATTTGCCACAGGGAAGTAACACGGTTGAGCAAAAAGAACACCAGACAGCATCGAATGACTCTGATTAACATCTGATTTTCAGTATCCTCATTTATAAAACAGAGATTAGATTATAAATAGAGGCTCCACATGGTTGTTATGAGGACTCAATGAAATAATCTTTGCAAATTTTAAAAAACACATAACATTTTTATTTATTCTTCTTACTACTATTATTCTTTTGGGAATTTTAGGTCAAGGGTATGATAAAATAGTAAAGTGATGATGTGTATTATTAAATTCCTTTTAGGTATTTATCATAAAAAGTAGAAAGTTATCTAAAGCTCTTTTTTTCCCTTTTCCAATAACCTAGGTGGTGCAGTAGACAGAGCAATGGTCTTGGAATCAGGAAAACTCATCTTCATGAGTCCAAATCCAGTTTCAGACACTTACCAGTTGTGTGATGCTGGGCAAGTTACTTAACTCTGTTTGCCTCAGTTCCTCATCTGTAAAACGAACTGGAGAAGGAAATGGCAAACCACTCCAGTATCTTTGCCCAGAAAACACCAAATGGAGTCATGGAGAGTCAGACACGACTGAAAAATGACTCAACAACAATAAACTATTATTCACTGTCTTTCAGTAATAGCAATTATATAATTTCCTATCTTATCATAGTCCAGATGACTTCTAAAATTTTTTCACAATAGGAAACAGAACAGATTTGGACAAAACACACAGGTAGGGAGATGGACAGCAGCGTGCAGAAGAACCCTAACTACATGCACCAGAAATACTGAGGTTAATATCATGAGCTTGATTAAAAAGCCAGAGGGAGAGATTCTGAGCTCTGCTCTTTCTTCCCACTCCCCATATCGACTACAGTTGATCATAAAAACACAATAGCCTCACATTGTAGTCACTTTACCTGTGTTTGCAAGAAGGTGACTGTGCTGACCAGGCTCGATGATATCATATGAGATTGTAATAGGAAACACCTGGGGTCCCAGAATAGCTGGAGGCGAGGACACCGTGAATGTAAAAGAGTCTTCTGCATCCCAGACTTGAATTTCACTGTTTGCATGCTTGTATGATATCAGACCTTCATTAACCTGTTGAAAATTCAAGACAAATCAAGCCATTAGCTTTAAAGATCTGGTAGGAGCAAGAAAGACAATAAAAGTGGAAGAAAGGATCTGCATGTATTTTATTTGTCTTAATCTTCCTTTGTATTCTGATTATCGCAAAATCTGCTGTGCTGAGAGGGACTCCAGGGGCCATTTGGTCCAGCTCATACCTGACCAAGAATCCCTTCTACATCACACCTGACTCATCAGCCTGCTTTTGCTAAAGACTGGATTTATGCTTTGAACCACTCAGTCCAATTCAATTCGGCTCAATTCAATCCAACAAGCACTTATTAAACACCTGCTACATGAGAAGCACTGTGTTAAGTGCTGATGATGCAAAGACAACAATGAAAAAAGGCCCTGGCCTCAAGGAACTTACACTCTATTGGAAGGCTTCACAGACAATCAATCAATCAATCAATCAATCAATATTTGTTAAGCACCTGCTGGGTGCCTCATCCTATGCTGAGTGCTTTTTATTGATGAAGAGCTAGACATAAACAAAACCACACAAAAATGGATGTCTAAGGTGTCTTGATATCAGTAAATGCTGCAATTTTGTTTCTCAAAGAGTATTTGATAAAAATACAATGTCTTGAAAAGCTATCCTCATCATATGTCATCCAAATCTATTGTGTGGACAAGAAACCAACTGAATTGCAACAGAGGAGAGTACATTGGTTTTGGGGTCAAAGGACCTGAGTTCAAATCCAAGCTCTTCCATTAACTATCTCTATGGCCTCAAGTAAGTCATTCTACTTTTCTGGACCTCGGCTGTGCATCTTCACAATAAGGAAGTTTGATCATATGAGCTCTAAAACCCTTTCTAATTCGAAATTTCTCTGATCTTAAAACTGAGTAATGTTAAGAGTAAAGAGAGTTACTGTAGGTTCTGGGTCTGAATTACAATATTTTAGCCTAGTTATAATTTTAGTCTGCTAGAATTAAGAGGTCAGGATATTTTAGCTCTGATCTAGCCTTTTGTGGGTAAAATCTATAAAATTAGAGAGTTGGACTAGATGCCTTTTGGGATCCCTTCTGGCTCTAGGGCTAAAATCCAAGGCTGCAGGGGAGATTGGTAGTACATACAAAGAGTGAGATGGCACAGTGGATAGAGTGCCAGTCCTGGAGTCAGAAAGACTCATCTTCATGAGTTCAAATCCAGTCTCACATACTTACTAGCTGTGTGACCCTGGGCAAGTCACTTAACCTTTTGCCTCAGTTTCCTCATCTGTAAAATGAGCTGGAGAAGTAAATGGCAAACCAATTTAGTATCTTTGCCAAGAAAACTCCAACAATAAACAAAAAATTTAACTGAATCCACATATGGGTATTTGTAAAGATTTTTCACAGTGACTAACACAAAAGTTGCATGAGACAAGGTGTGGTCCAACTACAGTACATGGCTATGCAATACGCTTCACTGAATTCATATCACAGCCCACATGCAGAAAATCCCTGTTACCCAGCAATAAGCTATTTCTCTGAAGATGCATCAGCCCTAATGATACACAATAAGGGTCTCTCTGATGTCATTCAAAGCTTTTCAGAAGGTTTTTGGTTCTGTAAGTTTCCCCAAGGGATGATCTCAGGGACAAGCATTTGCTCTGCCCTGGACTGATAAAGAACTCCAGGAGGAGAGTTTGAGAACAAAGCATGGATTTCAAGTTGAGAGAGGAAATCTCCAATAAAAATGTCCAGGGCAATACATTTTCACCAGGAAACAAGTTTACCAGTAGTAACTGGAATTTTTATGAAAACATCTAGGACAGTAGGTGACTACGTAGAGGAAGTATTAGGAGGGAGGGAGTCCAAAAATCTAGGGCTGTAAGGATCTCTAATGGTAACATAGTCCAATCTACATATCTGCAAGAACAAGTTTACATAATAGTAGTTCTCATTGGTTGGGGCTTAGGGAGAGCTGTCCCATGGGTTGCAAACAATGGTTAAATGAGATGTTTGTGTCTGGTACACAGTAGGCACTAATGAAAATCTCATCCCTTCTCCACTCCAAACATAAGGAAGTCAATCCTACAAGCATTCATTAAGCACCTACTATGTGTGAGGAATTATGCTAAGCACCACAGATATAGAGAAAGATTCCTGCTCTTGAGGAACTCACAGTAAAAATGGATAGAAAACATGGAAAACAACTGTGTATAAGAAAAGATATTCTGTACATGTTGGAATAATCAACAGAGAGAAGGCACCAGCATTAAGGAGGATTAGGAAAGGCTTCTTGCAGAAGATAACATTTTAGTTGGCACTTGGAAGCATCCAAGAAAGCCAGGAGGGTGGCGCAGTGGATAGAATGTGGCGCAGTGGATACAGCATTGGCCCTGAAGTCAGGAGGACCTGAGTTCAAATCTGACCTCAGAGCAAATACTTGACACTTACTAGCTGTGTGGCCCTGGGCAAATCACTTAACCCCAATTGCCTAAAAAAACAAACAAACCAGGATATAGAGATGAGAAGGGAGACAATTCCAGATATGAGAGACAATGAATGAGATGCCTGAAAGGGGGAGATAAAGTATCTTGTCTGAGAAAGACCAAGGAGTCCAGTGTCACTGGAACACAGAATACAAAGGGGAAGGGAATAAGTTATAAGAAGACTGGAAAGATAGGAAAAGGCCAAATGGAGGATTTTATATTTGCTTCTGGAGGTTATATGAAACCATTGGAGTTGACTGGTGTGGGGTGGGGGTGGTGATGGTTGTGGTCTGCTTCTTTTTAGAAGGAAGTCCCTTAAACCTGAAAACATGGCTATCCAATTCCTGTAGGGATTATAATTTTAGATAGTAAAGTAAGCCTGGCTTTCTCATGACAGAAGGGATGCATAGTTTGCTATCAAAGGAAAGGAGTTATTTTGGATATTGGCTGGTCTTTGATACTTATGTCAATGGAGGCAAAGAGTTATTATTAATGTAATAATATACTATAACCACTCCCTGTAAAAATATATAAAGGCTTTCCAACATCTACATCAGGGATTTTTAAACATTTTTGCGTGTCATAGACACCTTTTACAATCGAAAGCCTATGGACCCCTTCTTTTTCTAAAAAAAAAAATTCAGACTGGATGGAAATACTAAAATCTCAATTAAAAGTTAGTGAAAATAAAGATGTAAATTTTTTCCCATCCAAGTTCACAGACCCACTAAAATTTACCCATGGACCCCAGGTTAAGACCCCCTGCTTTAAACAAAGTGTGAATTTACAAGAGAAAGAATGTTTCAAAAGAGCCATTCCCCAATAAAGTGGTCAAAGGACATACACAGCCTGTTTTCAAAAGAAGAAATACAACCATCAACAAACATATAAAAGAACGATCCAAGTTACTAATGCAAATTAAAACAACTCTAAGGTTTCACTTCACACCTATCAGGTTGGCAAAATTTATAATACAAAATTATATTTCAGGAGAAAAACTAAGGACTCATTTGTACAGAATTGATAATTTAACCCATGGAATCAAATAAAATCTTCAAAGAAAAGAGTATAGAGAGAAAAAAGAAGAGAGTCTAGGTCTCAGGTTTGGGGGCTGTCCTCTGAAGGGGTAGAAAATGGATGATCAACTGATAAAGGAGACTGAGGAATGGTATAAAAAGAGGAAAGAGGAGCAACAGAGAGAGCAAGGTCACGCAAGCCAAGGGAAAGGGGAGTATTCTAGAAGAGGATGTTGTCAACACTTGTAATGGCTGAAGAGAGGTCAAGAAAGATGAGGATTGAGAAAAGGCCATTGGATTTAGCAATTAAAAATATCAATGGACACCTCTGAGAGATTTCCCTCCCTGCTAGAGGAGTGATTATATTTACACAGTATATACTTTATAATTATCTCTCAGTCACTAAGAGATCCAAATCTGTGAGATCAAGGCAGAGTCAGGTTCCACCCTTGCCTATAAAACATCTTGCACTTTGGATATCCATCAGAGGATACGTAAAGACTATGGATTCCACCAGCCTTTTTGTGCAAGGTGCTGGAGGCCCCATTTCTCTGGGCCCCAACATTTCTAGTTATCTTTTTCTTAGGCTGAAAGTAATATAGTTCTCTGCCTTATCTTGGGGAAAATACTACTGTATTAGAAGTTCTTTTAGGGCACAGACCATTTCTTATTCATATTTCTATCTCCCCCAGGACCTAGTGCATTGACATACACTTGGCACATTATTCGTTAAAGAAAAAATGAATGCGGCATATGGCAGTTGCAAAGGAAGCATCTATGAACCTAGAAGAATCATCACAAGGGTTAGCTGAGAGTCCCCATAGTGTAGTGACTACAGTACTAGATTTAAACTCTGGAAGTCCTGGGTTCAAGTCTCATCTCAGACATTTACTGGCTGTGTGATTCCAAATTCCAAATTTAACTTTTCCGAGACTGGGATTGGCAAAGATGACCCAGAAAAAGAAAATGACAAATGTTGAAGGGACTATAGGAAAATAGAAACATTTATGCCCTCATGGTGGAGCTATGAATTGGTATAGTCATTCTGGAAAACAGTTTGGAACTATGTTCTAAAAGTTGCTTTACAGGGGCAGCTAGGTGGCACAGTGGATAGAGCACTGGCCCTGAAGCCAGGAGGACCTGAGTTCAAATCTGGCCCCAGACCAAACACTTGACACTTACTAGCTGTGTGACCCTGGGCAAGTCACTTAACCCCAACTGCCTTAATAAAATAAAAATAAAAGTTGCTTTATTGCATACATCTTTTGACCCATTGATACTATTTGTAGCTCTAGACTCTAAAGAGATCAAAGAAAGAGAAAAAGGAATCACATGCAGGAAAATCTTTATAGTAGCCCTTTTTGGCAAAGAAATGGAAACTAAGCGGGTGCCCCTTAATTAAGGGAAAAGCTAAATAAATCATGGTACATCATGAACATATGAAATGCTATAAGATATAATGAAAGGGATGGTTTCAGAGAAACCCGGAAGACCGATATGAACTGATAAAAGTAAAGAAAGTAAAGTGAATAGA